GGGCTGGAAGGAGGTAATTTTAATTTGTGAATACTTTTCTATGCAGCTCAATAAATCTGGTTAGATTTAAACTGAAAACAGGAAGTTAGTTATGCGCATGGAATCTTCTGGAGTCGGATTTCATTTTGGGTTAATTTTTAATTCAGGTCCGTCCGAGTTAGTTATTGATGATTGATTTTTGTTTAATATTTATTTCAGGTCCGAGTTAGTTATTGATGATTAGTGAATGAATGGGAATGCAAGGCGCCATGTTGAGTTTGCCGAGCCCACGAATACTTTCGATGAGTATGATACAGAAGACTCTTTTATTGATGATGCTGAGTTGGTATGTGCATTTATTCATTAATCTTGTTGTTTTATATCTGTGTTGGCCATTGTACTGATTTAATTGGTGGCATTTTATATTTATGGCTTTGCTAATGCTACTTCGTTATGTGTTGTGCAGGATGAGTATTTTAAAGTTGACAATTCAGCAATAAAACATGATGGATTCTTTGTTAACAGGGGAAAACTGGAACGTTGCGTCTTGGGCTGATTAAATTTGAAATCGTTGTTGTTGGTGGTGTTTTGAAATATATGTTTCTTCTATCTCTTTGATATTAGGTGGAGTGATTTCTGGTTTGGTTGGAAATATTATTTTCAGGCTGATAATTTGGAAATATGTGAAACCCAAGTGACTGCTTCTGAGAATCCCATTCAAAGAGATCTTTTTGCACATGAAAGTGAATGCATAGAAACTATTCCTGAGGAACCCATTGGAATTTCAGTTGTGACATTGCAACTCCTTTTGCTTTTGTGTGTGCACATAATTGCAATTTGCAACTCCAATGTGTATTGAAGTTTGTATATGAATTATGACGCACACTTTCATTTCAAGTGTTCTGCCCATTATCCTCATCTTCCGGATTGAAACTACAAAATTGATTTTACTAGTGTTGGAGCGTTGATATTCCAAAGTCTTAGACTTGTATTGTTTTACACTAGTTCAAAGCAGTGAACTAGTTCTTTTGTAAACAGGCACCACAGAGTGCTGCAGTAGCAGTGATGTACCTGAAAATCCCCCTCCCACCTCAGAATGGTATCCTGGTTCCCTCATTGCCTTCCTTATTAATTTGATTGTTTGGTTAAATATTTTCCTAACTCTGTTTTTTTTTCAATACCTCTTTCTAGGTTAGAAGATACGCTTATTGATCTTTATTTGTCTGGTTATTCCAACTTAGAAGCCGATGCTGCTGATGATATGACAGTGTTCCCCGAAACAGATGTTGAGTTTGGATCCAATGGTTTGTTCTGAATTCTCATATGTGTTTCTAGATAGATAATTGCTGTGGTTGGAGCAGGATTTAAATGGGTTTGTTTGGTGGAGTTGCAGGGAACAATGATAGTTACGAGCTCAATGAAGGCAAATTGATTCCGGATGACCATGATGCTGCAATTAAATCAAGTGAAAATGTTAATGATGAAGGTTTGCTACTATGTTTGCTTCTAGTTCTTGAGGCTAGATATCAACTTTAGTTTTAGTAAGTAGGATGTACTTTATCTGTAGGATGTTTGGTTTGTCTTCCTGACTCTGCTGTATAAATATATGTAATTGATCATTGAGGCCCATCAATAGCAGAGATAATGAAACATATAAGCATATTTGGCACAGGTGCTTCATTGGATGAAGAGAACTGGCGAGCTCAATATGGTCAGGTCATTCAATCTGAAGAAGTTTCAATCCCGGAGTCCTCACTTGTAAGTTTATGGGACTGGGAAATGATCACAAAGCCCAGAAAGGATGGAAAAGGTGAGGTAGCAAGGCTTGTTGGGAGATTAGTGAGGCGGTCTGCTAAGCTTCATCCATCTATGCCTTCTGGTGGTGGTCTTCTAAAAACTGCTCCAATATGTGAAGTACATCTTGATCTGGTACGAGTTATAACAGGTTTGCATTTGCCTCTATCATTTGGCAACATTTTTTCCTTTTAAAAATAAAATAAAAAATTTTGAAGACATAAGACCTACTTGTGTTTTGTGTGTTTGTATTATGTTCTGCCTGAAAGCATGTTGTTTTAGTTAACAACAGCAAAATTTGATGGTTACCTGTGACTTATTTTTGGTATTCTTTCAGGACAAGTCTATAAGTTGCGGAGCCCCAGTATACGATACTTATCTTCCTTGTCAACTTATGATTCTTCCAACCCAACCAAAGATTGGGGCTTCCCTGAATTATCAGTCAACACACCCCTCTCTAAATCCAGTGTAAACAGTGAATCAATAACTGCAGATGGAGTGGCAATTAGCAAGGATTCGTCTTTGTTGCCAGGCCAAATATATGAAAAGGTAGCTTGAGCATGTTCAATTGTTGAAACTGTACTCTTGTTAAGTTCAATTGATAAATAGTCCAACTCCAAGTAAAGCTTTGAAGTTTTAGCTGGGACACAAGCAATGCTACATAAGAGGTACCCTTACGTCAACAAGTAACTTTCAACGTCCAAGGGATATGGTTCAGTCATTAATGCCCTGCTAACAATTGATAACCTCGTGCTATCAGACTATCAGTTTTATATTTATGTGTCAAATATACTAGATGTGTACCTGAATATGCCAAACTACTATAAGTTTTTGTTGAGTGGCATAATCTATTATCTACTTATACTCTTCTATATGCACGTGCTACATGATATGGTGCACTACTTAACAGTTCTGTTGCAGCCCTTTGTAGTTTTATTCCGTTATAAGATGTTGAGGAGTATATGCATTTCTATCCAAATCTGCACTTCCCTGATACTCTTGTCTCCTGTCAATTTGCCAGCATGAAAGCTATACATATAGGGATAGAGCTGCTGATAGAAGAGCCTTGCACGGTGGTTTCGGTGTGGGTCCAGGACAAAAGAATTCACTAATTGGTGATAGTGATTCGCCGCCAGGCTCTACAGAAGAAGCTGCAGCAGAGGCCTTGAACATGTCATTTGGAGTTGGTAGTTATGCCAGAAAACTTTTAGAAAACATGGGCTGGAAGGAGGTAATTTTAATTTGTTAGTACTATTCTAGGGCAGCCCATTAAATCCGGTTAGATGTAAACTGAAACAGGAGAGGTTTACCTGTTTAAAACTTATATCTCCTGGCTCAAATTATGCCTTTTTTATCTCATTTATTTATTTACTTTTGTGGACATTGCAAATTTGGAACCCTGCTCACCTTTTGTTCCTTCGATTTGTATGTGTGCAGGGAGAGGCACTTGGCAAAAGTACAAAGGGATTAGTTGAACCTATTCAAGCACACAGCAACATTGGTAATGCTGGATTAGGGTGGCCTCAGGGAAGATTTAAGCATCCCTGAATTAGAGTGGTCTCAGGGAAGACTTAAACATTGATAATGCTGCGTGTATATATGTACGGTGGAACAAAGGCATGATTATTAGAGCATGTGGATTTTGTGCATAACATGCAGCATTCTGTATATTCATTATGAAACAAGAACCATTTCAGTTTTGTAAGAATGAATGATATGAAATGAAACCATGCAACTGCCGCACCCATGATGGGGTT